ACCCACTACGATCCACAACGACCCACTACGACCCCACAACGACCCACTACGACCCACAACGATCCACAACGACCCACAACGACCCACAACGACCCACTACGATCCACAACGACCCACTACGACCCCACAACGACCCACTACGACCCACAACGATCCACAACGACCCACAACGACCCACAACGACCCACTACGATCCACAACGACCCACTACGACCCCACAACGACCCACTACGACCCACAACGATCCACAACGACCCACAACGACCCACAACGATCCCAAAATTACCTTCAGTTGCAATTTTGTATTCGTTGTGGATCGTTGTGGGTCGTAGTGGGGTCGTAGTGGGTCGTAGTGGGTCGTCGTGGGGTCGTAGTGGGGTCGTAGTGGGGCCTTTTGGGTCGTTGTGGGGTCGTAGTGGGTCGTTGTGGGGTCGTTGTGGGTCGTCGTGGGGTCGTTGTGGGGTCGTTGTGGGTCGTAGTGGGGTCGTTGTGGCTCGTTGTGGCTCGTTCCATGTTTTAGTAACTACGCGTTGCGGGGTCGTAGTGGGTCGTACTGGGGTCGTTGTGGGTCGTTGTGGATCGTTGTGGGGTCGTAGTGGGTCGTTCTGGGGTCGTTGTGGGTCGTTGTGGATCGTTGTGGATCGTAGTGGATCGTAGTGGGTCGTTGCGGGGTCGTAGTGGGTCGTTGTGGATCGTTGTGGAGTCGTAGTGGGTCGTTGTGGGTCGTTGTGGATCGTTGTGGGTCGTTGTGGGTCGTTCCATGTTTTAGTAACTACGGGGAAGCCCGTCCCAACGAACGAAACTTAAAATACGGTATTTACAACTAGAGTAATACGCGAAACAGTATAGCTCGGTAATTAGCAGATCGAACAAGGCGGTATGAAACGCAAAAACGAATATTGTAAAAAGAAAGAAGAATGGGCTGAATTTGAGAAACGAGTGGGCCTTAAAAGAACCGAAGGTCGGGAGAAAAAGTCTCGTGGTGTAAAAGTTCCGAGCGATATATTAGTTCAATGAATGTCGTCAGTAGCTTCAGGTCGGTTAAAGAAATATGAACCATTGGACACAAGAGATTTTGTGCCTTTCGAAGATTACGACGAACTAAGCATTGACAATATAAAAGACGCTTGCGAACGCTTCTACAACGCTCCACAAAACACTTGTGATATCCTAGCGTCTGACCGAGGCCCGTCGTGTACCAGGTTTGAACAACTAAAGGGGAAAAAGGTTTTCTTCATACGCTTTCTACAACCAGAAAATGAGAGCCAACGCAACGATGAGGGGCCTGTACCGGTTTTGCGGGATGGCGGGATGCGTCTAAAATTGAAGTGGGATTCGGGATTTTAAGAGAAATATTGGCGGGAAGCGGGATTTTATTGCATCGCGGGAAGTGGGATTAACTGAAAATACCATAGCGATATGCGGGAAGTAACCCACGATTAGCGGGATAAAACAACAAAACTTGTAGCTGTACGTTAGCTGATCTGTTGTCATTTGTTTGTGTGCTCGAAATGTACTGTTTTCCAGGATAATATCGAACATTTCCCCCCATCAATCTCCCATTTACATGTATGATTGCTGCTTTCATTAGAATCGCGATTCAGACTAATTTATTATTTTAAACTTTGTTGTATTGTATTCTAATGTATTCAAATTGTGCTTTATGTCGTACCATGTTCTTTAAATCATAATACGTTGAACAGTGTTAGAAACAAACTGGATAACGGGAAATTGGGATGAGGCATGGGGGGATAACGGGATTTGAAGTGAAAATCGGTCGGGATGGCGGGATTTTGGAACCCGGTACAGGCCCCTCAACGATGATATGTCAAAGAACGATAATATGACAAAACAAGCAAAGGCTGGTACGAAGTCGTCCCCAGTAAAGTTCACTAATTCAAGTCATTCGTTTGTAGCCCACGGCCACGTGCTCCTGCTACAGTCTTCCCAAAGTCTGTATCAATTGGCGATTTGCTTAAAGCTGGGAAGTTGATAAAGCCACCAAAAGCATATACATTTAACTTAGAGTATTTCGATTTTCACAAATGCATTTGGGTTAACGCTTCCACCATAAAACTTCAGGTTGAAGATGAAAAGTTCGCAAGTGGCGCTTTCCGAGACGCTTACAAAGCGAAATGTCTTGATCCGCCAGATCTGCGTGGTGAATGGGTATTGAAACGGTACCAGGATACTTCGATAAACACGATCGAAAACACATTAGGAATGTCTGTTGAGGGACACACGAGAAAGCAAGTTCAGATGCACGCAGTTGCAAGAAATATCACCCACCAGTTTGCCTCTAAAGTCCCTCCACAATTTAAGGATACTTTTGCATATGGCAAAGTTTTTTATTCTTCGCTAGACGGTCGGCCAGTAACTGTTGAAGAATACGTGCCAGGAGATTTCGTTAAATACGTAAATAATGACGGCCAATGCTTGGAAGCCCCTAGTGAAGAATACGAGGTCGTATTCAGGAAAGCAGAATGTCTGGTGCATTTCAGTTACAACTATTCAAATAAGAAAATGATGCTCTTAATAGATATACAAGGTTCAATGTTTAATCTTTACGATCCTGAAATTGCTAGCGCAGAGTTGAATGATGAATTGGGAGAATTCTATTTTTGTGCTGGCAACTTGTCATGTTTAAGTATTAGTAATTTCAATAGTGAGCATAAATGTAATCAGTTTTGTGCCATGTTGAATCTTGCTTCTGAAACGGGCTGACATTGTAAGACTGATATTGCACAATTTTTCATTGATTTTTTCTACGCGTTTAATACACAGTAGTTGAGTTTCATCATAATGCATGTTAAAAATAGCCAAGTCCGGTGTTTACGCTATAGGGTAAGGGCAACGGCTAAGCTGCAAGTTATTTTGACTACAAATTAGTAGTTGAAAAGTTTGTTTACAGCAAATTTCACTCAGACTCAAACTTGTTTAAAGTGCGAAAATTGCATGCCATATATGTACTTATGGATGTCAACAATAATATGAAATATACAAGTGGGACACTTTTTGTATTTTCACTGTAATATATATAACCGAACAAACTTTGGAACTTTTGTTAAATCTTGTAATAAGATCGTTTAAATTACTCATTTTGATATTCTGTATTAGCTAGAATCACATAGCTGGATGATTTTGTCTTTGACTATGAAGATAGTGCAGTAAAACATTACACATGTTTTTGATATCAAAGTTAACGCGAATTAAAGTTACTGTTACTAGAATTAATGTCATTAGAAATATTTTGTTTAAGAAACAGGTAAGCGTCTTTTGCACTGACTGAATCAACTTTCGATGGTTCAGGTAAACACTGTTCACACGCATGTTTAATTCTTTCGTCATGGATGTAAATTTCTGGGTTGTCCTCAAGTAAGTCCGAAACTTCTGCCACTTCTTCTAACGCATCTTGTGAGACAGGAATACCACAATGATTTCCTCCGTATTTCTCGGGGAAGGAAAATATGTGATTTGGAATTCCTGTACGTAGGAAGCGACAGATCGTCCTGATGACGATTCTGTGGGAATTCCAGTTGCTCACAAAAATATCACATTCACGTTGAATAATAGGAATATAAACATATGCTAATAGCTGTCTATTCAACATGTCGTGCGGATCGTACTGCCTATCTCGTAGCAGCTGTGTTAACTGTATTTTAAAATATTTCTCCAATCTCTCGTGCAAATCACGCCACCATCTTTCAATTTTGTTGCTCGTTGAAGGACCATGTATAATAGCTTGAACTGCATCTTCCATAACTTCATACTTGTTTACAAGGTAGACGTGTACAGTCGCCATTTTTCCGGTTTCCGTTCCCTTGTCAATTCTAAGATATGATGGCATTTTTTGTTTTTGATACAAGTACTCTAGATACTTTTTCCCAACTATGCGTGGGTCAGAGTTTGAATAACAGACAAAAAGAAACAGGATTTTCCTTGAAAATGTATCCAAACAACCGTAAATACATATGGGAAACGTCGAATTTTGATATCCGCAGAGTTTATCGTGTCCGTCAAGCGATACAACCCATAAAGGGCCATTCGAAGTAAATTTCACTTTCGGTTTTTTTGCTTTCTTTTGTAAACTTCTCGCTTCCAGACCGTCAGGATCTAACTCGGCAAGAACATTGTGGACTAAATGCCTGGGAACTTTAACATTATGCACGGTTCTAAGCTTTTGGTTTAATGCTCTGTAACTCAGAAGTTTCCCTGGGCCATTAAGTTCCTGGGAAACAGCTTCAGAAACAGCCCTACCGGTGTAGTATAATTAATGTACCTTATTTCAAAATGTCGAAGTCTCCTATCAAGTGTAGCGATGCTCCACGCGTATTCTGAAAAATCTCGTTTAACGAAATCTAATATTTCTGATCTTTTTAAATTCTGCCTGACATATTGATCAACATCTTTCTTTAGCTTCTCGTCATCTTTCCAGTTGGCATTCGCCATTAATACATGCAGTCTGTGGCCTCTTTATTCTGTGCTGTGGCTCTGTGCAGAACGGTGCTTCCTCTTTCCAATTTAAATTTTTATTTCTTGTGATTTTGCATGATAGTGATAGCGCTGGGCCACGCGTATAAATACGTTTTAAAATTTTATTTGCAGATTGAAAATATTAGGCATTATATTATATAATTTACATTTTAAATTTAAAAATAAAAACGGTTTAAAAGTAGATTTCATATCTGAAATCTAATTACAATGCAAAATAATATGAACTTCTGCAAAAATCCATGATAGCGATGGGCCACCATATAGCAGCGCACTAAACGGCTGAATTTAAATTAAAACTGCAATGAACTTATAAAATTAACAAAAATAATCACAAATTAGCGAAATATATTGCAAATGTAGCTTATATAATTAAATCACCACCCGATTGCTCTCCTCCGCAGAGGTTTCAGTGACTACAATGAGCTTTACATGGCGCTTACCGTATTTTATATCAACGAACTGACGTATAATTATAAAGTATATATATATATATATATTAAGTATACTTTATAACTATACGTCAGTTAGTCGATAGTGCAATCTGATGGCGATTTAAATAAGCTACATTTGCAATATATTTCGCTAATTTGCGATTATATTTTCTAATTTTACTGCAGTTTTAATTTAAATTCAGCCGTTTAGTGGGCCGGCTATAATTGTAGTAATGTGATCTTTATAAAATATATCAACAACAATAGTATAATCTAATTAGCACCAGCCAATCAAATGACAGATTTAAAAAATCGTTTGTCTAATCGGCCAATCAGACGAAAAAGCCAGAATCTGGCTTTTTACATGCGCCGCGGTAAAGAATTGTATCAGGCCCTCCTTCATTCGCCGCCGCCAATTAATTCTGGCGAATGAAAACATAAGGGCCTGATACTCAGGTTATAATAAACACTGTCAAAACACTTCGCCGTTCTTCAGTGCATTTTTTAAGGATTCTTCAGTTGTGGGGCAAAACTGCCAAAGGGCCCATTTTCCTGGCCCTCCCCTCAGGGTAGTATATGCGATTGCCGAAGGTGCGTTTGTAAAATTTGGGTCTCTGAAATAGCATTTCCTGCATTCTGAGAACACATTTTAATAAAAAATCTCAGCTTCTCAAAACACAGTTTAATGATGAAATTTGTAATAAATTGCATGCTAAACATTCAAACACAACATAAATTTAAGTATGCTCACCAACAAATTTTATTTTTTAAACTTCTTTTCAATGTTAAACTCATTTACTCAATATAGGTCATAAGGCCCTGGCTTGGGGGCAATTGGCCATTTTTTTTCTTCAGTGGTGGGGCAGAGTAAGGGGACCAGTGGGGCAAATGCCCCACCAGTCGATGGTATTAAAAATGCCTTGCCGTTCTTTTTTCGGACACTTAAAACAAACCTTTTTGCCAGGTTCTTCAACTCATTCGGGGGTATTCCTCGATTTTTCTACGTTCACCTTCGGCCACCAGAAACTCAAGGAACACTTTTGTGTCGTAGAACGTTTTTTCTCGTATTTTCGTTTTCGTGTTCCTCATTGAACTTTTTTACATCATCGTCACTGATTTGGACAAACCTCGCCATGTTGCGAATTGTGAAAGAAGGCCAAGGCAACTATACTCGTAAACATAGTCACGTGATTGATATCCTCACTAGTGAAGATACCGTAAACATCCGACTATAAGCCCTGCCTGGGCTTATATACTTTCGTAAGCGATTTTTGATAGGCTTATACAAGGGGGGGGGCTTATATACGGGGCTTATACATGGACGATCTTTTGCGTTAGTACATGTGGTGGGCTTATACACGGGGGGGGGGGGCTTATATTCGAGGGTAGGCTTATAGTCGGAGGTTTACGGTATGGAAAATATGTCACTGTGTATTTCTCAGTATCTCACTCTCTACTATAAAATGTACATCAAGCACTATTACATGTACGTCAATGCTGGTATTGTGCACAAATCACAAGTAGTTGCTAAAGCGGATGGACCGTAGAGTATAATTTTCAAGATGGCTGCTTGTATTAAGATCGTTGTAGGCGTTAAAACGTGAAAAATCAATTAACAACAACGCCCATTAGCCGTAACCTTATCCTAATTAACCCTAACAGAAAAGCGAACTCTGAGCTTAAATTTGTAACTATATCGGTAAACTTCCACTCGAGTCACCAAGCCACAGATGGGGACCAAGTCCTTCTCTAACTCATTAAGATATTATTTATTTTGATGTGTTATTTCCTCTATCATAGTAATGTATATAACATATGCTATCATGTCTACAGTATCTATAGTAAAATCAAATGTGTAACTTGATTGCTTAGTGAAGCGTACTCTTCTTCTTGTTTGGTTAATTATAAGGACACTAGAATGAGTAGATTTCCCTATATTGTACCAACAAACATTTCCTTAAGAGTTTAAGAGTCTACAAGGGTACATCCGAGTATCTTGTTTTTCTGCCATTAATTTGAGAGGCAAGCTATGATCTAGCTTACTGTGTTAAACTTAATTGGCCGGGAGATTTGAGAGGTGCATCTGAGTTCATGAACATTTTTCTTCAATATATCCACACAATCACACAGATTTAGGTCTGAAATAGGATATGGAAAGTCGTGTATTTTGGGGTGAATTAACTATAGTAAGATCTAATCAGTTTAAGAGTATACCCTCTCCATGCATCCTCCGGTTCTAGAATTATAGAAGAACCATGTAGGTACTGATAGCGCGCGAGCTTATGAACGCTGACCGGAAGCAAATTTGACGTTATCAACCAACCAACATTCTTGATCCAGTCTTTTAACGTTACTCATGCCGTTTGTGTTGTCAAAAAACGTCGCTTGCTTAAGCTCGCTAATAATTAAACAAAAACCTCGAAAAACCATAAGAACCATAAACCCAAGAATCATGAACCATAAGAAAATACAAAAAGAAACAAATTTCCAAAAATAAGGTCATCTTGAAATTCAAGATATGAATTAAAACAAGACGAGTGTTTTAATTCATAATTTGGGAAAATTTCCAAACATCACTCGTACTATTAATCCCTAATTGTGCGAGCAACATCGCATAATTACTTGTTTATTATTAGCATGACAAAATTGGATGCGTTCTTCTCAATGACAATGTCAACATCATATTCTCTCGCCAAAGCCCAGTCCTGCCAGACTTTCAACCAAATTTTGGTGCTTTTGTTTGTATTTTCATTTATAGTTCTTTTGTTCAAGCAAAATTTGGTGCTTTTGTTCGTCTTTTCATCTAGTTCCTTCACGGCAATTTCATTTCACATCTGTGTTTTATAAAATACCTTTCCGCCATTTTGTTTGTTTTGGGAAAATCATTAATTGTACCGCAGTACCAGAGGCAGTACAATTAATGAGATAATTGTACTCCTCTCAACCAATCGGCATCCAGTAATTTTGTCATGCTAATAATAACTATATATACTAACATGCATAACATTTATATGTTCATTAATCTAACTTAACAATTTATCTAACTAGTACCGTCTTTTGGTCTTAACAAAATATATAATGATTTTTTAAAATAAATTTTTAGAGATTTTCTACTAATTTGTACAGTTTACACGTTTACGAACAAACTTGAAGTAAGTTAAATTTTTCAGAAAAGATTTCTTTTTTCCCCAGTAGAGATCGACCTAGTTACTTCAATTTATCAAGCATTTACTACCCATGAATGACAGTCAATTAGAATCAGTGCTGCTAACAAGATAATCATACTCTTGAAAACAACTTGTCAAATATCTTCACCTATGCCACGTAATGATGAGGGGAAACATTAATATTCATGTAAAAGAAAACTATTTCTGTGTACGTTGACAAAGGAGGAATACTTCTGGTTGTAGAAAGACCGCTCTCCGATTATCTTATATATCAGCATATAATTCGTGGTACGTAATCTTGCATGATGAACAAATTCAGCTGTAATCAGTAAACTTCTACTTGTTCGAGATCAAGGCAACAAATTTTCTCTATTTTAGTTATCATTTTGTCCACACAGCAATAAGATTTCATAGGTCAGTTCTTATATAAATAAATATAAATAATGAAATCTCTGACTGAAGGTGTTTTTTACAGCAGCAAGCCTGCAGACGGATATTCTCATTGATGTGAATACTGAAATAGTCATAGTTGGCAAGATATCATTTATTATTTATATAGTTACTGTATTCTAAACCCTTCCAGTCTTTTAGTTAAGGAACCAAATGACGCCATCCAGGATTTTTACAGCATTACTCTTCACAAGTGTAAGTATAAATACCAATTTGTTCGCAGGGTTGTTCTATATAACCTGATCCCAGTGTATAAGCCCACCATATTCAATAAAGCTCAGGCCATTCCGAATACAAGCCGCCCGACCCTCCCCCCCACACACACAATGTTGATAAAACATTGATTATTATAACCCTGTTAAGCAGTGTCCGCCGTTAGGTGGAGGTATTGCGAGATGTCAATCTGATTGAATTATTTCTTATACATGCTCAATATGTGCTCCTGTGCCCCCCAGTTCCACATATCGTACTATAGCGTATATGCCAGCGTCATGAAAAATATCACTCATACGCTGGTATACGTTGACATATACGTATACGCTAGGGGTACGTTAGGCATAGGTTCCCCGTTGTACACGTTTCAAGCACGGTCACATACGGTGGTATATACAGTACGCTGGCATATACGACGAGGCCCGGCGAGACAGAAACATTTTTTGAAGCATGGATGGGTTAAACATTTTGTGCGTATTCAAACGTACCGTAGCGGTGACTACGCCAGATGTACGGTACTCATACGCTGGCATTTTAAGGGATTTTTGTAATTTTGTGCGTATGAAAATTATTTCATTAATTTCCATACGTTTCTCTCATACGCAATAGCCAGTGTGCATGACAGGGCCTTATAAACTTGCACATGTGCACATGCAGGGTTAACGTTGGATTAACCGGCGTTTCGTGAGGCCCGTGGCATTTTAAACGCTGTCACTGAATAACTGAATTCAAGAATATATTTTTGTATTCCATGCGTCCTGTGTTTTAAAAAAAAAATATAGCTATACATAATGATTTGAACTAAAAATCAACCCAGTTTAACTCAACTCATACAGCACGTTGTACAATCAGCGATAATGGTTGATAGCTGCATATTACATTATATAATATATTGCAATACTTGGACTTTAAAGCAAAAGTTGTAAACGAAAAGTATGTACCAGCTGAGCAATCTGTTTGTTTGGGCCCAGCGCCAAAACGGAACAAAAAATTCGAAACGAGTAAGCGCGTGCATGGGCCCACATGCAATATAGCGCGGAGCCCGTGCATGCAGGCATTGCCATAATGCCGCTTCTGTCATATGGTTAATCCACCCTGATCACACATGCATAAAACACTAAAATATAGTTCAAAATAAAAAATACGGATAAATGTGAGGATAAAAAACATGTTCAAATAAACAAACCTTAATCTTCATTTTATACATCCAATTTTATATTTTTTTGCAGATGATGTTTTACACCTCTAAAGGTATAGTCGTGTAATTATTACTGTTACTTCATATACACATTCTTTTTGGCGAATTCCTTCGCCTGGAAAGGCGCTCGAAACGCCGGAATTGTTGTTATATTTTTCACACAGTTTGATCCTGCAATTCCTGAAGGAATAATATATTTTAACCTAATTCACAGCTCGGCCATTGAAACCGCAGTGCTTACATGATTGTGTTCCATGTCCTCTTGGCTCCCTGCAATCTCGTCGCGATCTCACTTTGATAGGGGTTACTCAAATACCTGAACCTGTCTGCCCACCTTGTAACCCTTGTGGTAGAGGTATGAGTTTAAACAACATGGAAATAGTATACTAGTTCTTGTCGAAATTGCAAATAATCTGCCCGCTAAGAATTCGTATTAGTTTGATATTGATTGAAAACATACAGAATCATGCTGAAATTCTGTCTCTGCAGTTAGAATGCATGATATGTATATAAGAAGTTATAAGACCATTGAATGCCTTTCAATACAAACAAATTATATCCTTTATTACTTTATTACTTTATTCAATTTAAAAACGTTTCTGATTGTTGCCATTGCCGTCCTTCCGATAATATCACATAAAATAATCTCACATTAATTTTTTATTTGATATAGATAATGTCAGTCCATGTCAAAATATCAAATGCCCAAAGCGTCAATTTTGTGTAATTGACGTGAAAACTGGTACACCAAAATGTACACGATAATCTTGCTTGACCTGAAAATTTACACCTCACGGTTATTGATTCTGTTGAATCTCGGTGCAAGGATTTCAATGGGACGATTTAATTACTACTCGATTTATTATAATTACTACTTCATCAATGTTGTCACATGCGTAACTCTATACTGCATGGATTCATGTGTATATTAGAATACAAACAAAGTTAGTTAATAAAATGTCCTATTTTTTTCATCTTTGACGCAGTTTACGTTTCATCTCATAAGATATGATTACCTGCAATCAATCAATCAATCAATCAATCAATCAATCAATCAATCAATCAATCAATCAATCAATCAATCAATCAATCAATCAATCAATCAATCAATCATATCATATCATATCATATCATTAGCTTGCAATCAATCATCATCAGTGTGGAGCCGAGAGGATTGATTGCCCTCCTCCTTGGTTCTAGGTTGTTGCTTTGCGATCATTTTAAGCGCAAATACTCTGTCATGTAAACTCTGATCAAATGTACATTTAATAAAATAATTATTCAGCTCAAGGTTTTTATTTTTCTACATTATTTCATTCCAGATCCATGCCCAAAAGGAAAATTTTGTGAAGTTTATCCCAAATTGACAATAAACCATCTTGTGTTTATCCAAGTTTCTGTCCTCTTAATTTTGCTCCAGTTTGTGGATCAGATAGAACTGACATACAGCAATATGATTGTTTTTTGAATGTTGCGAACATTGAACTATAAATAAACTGGATCTCAGAAAGAGTTCAGACTAAACTCCAGAAAGAGTTCAGAGACAATTTTAAACAAATTAGTAGAACAATCTTAGATACAGTTGTTAATAGATGTCCACACATCCAGAAACGTACTTTAAATTAGTAAAACCTGCGAACAGGCTGTACTTGAGCGCCCGAAATTTGGCTTCACCCAAACAGGCCTAGCCTTTATCTTAAAAGTCATCGTTCCAGTTTACTTATAGTTCAATGGTTGCAAATTGTCGTACCAATGCCGGCAAAATCACCAAAGTCGATGAAGGTCTATTTTTATGAATATCTAATCAAAATAAATTTTACCAGGTAACCTGGTAAAACTGGAGCAACATGTAACACGATGTTGTTTCGTGTCAGTTGCACAGATGCCCTAGCCATAGTTCTGTCATTTTTGCCGGGTATATTTCCTAAAGCACTCCTACTGTCAAGGAGTGTTTTTCTCTTTGCCCTGAATGGAGCTCGACTACATATATTAGCTGGAATTCGTTGTTAGATATGCGCAGTAAAAGTGCGCAATGCAAAATTGATGAATTATCTTAAAACGTTTCATTTTTAAGGAGACCTCCCTTCTGGTCAACGTACTTTAAAGTACATATCAATATGATATCATGATATACCGCTTGATTAAGATTTATCTCTTCTATCACTAAACAGTCATGACAGTACATATATATTTCACATACCCCGGCCGGAGCCTCTCGTGGGCCAAGTCTGTGAGATAGACTTTCACACTTGTTCTAAAAATGAAATCTTTGCAATTTCGCAAACTATCTGACAGAGAGTTAAATCCAGCTGCAACACTCAGGGCATTTTTTAACTATATAACTAATGGGGCATTTACCCCAGTAGGCCCTTTGTTTGCCCCAGTAGTGAAGCATGATTTTCAGATGAACTGGGCCCTTTTGATCATTAGTAAAAGGTTAACCTTGTTGAAAAAGCTGCATCTGCCTGCTTTCTCAGATCCTCTCACATTCTCGACATTCCCTCTTATAAAAGTCACAGGCAGAGGTGGCGCTAAAAGGGGATTGTGGGTGTGGAACACCCCAATCACCGGGTAGTCGGCAAATTATCTAATTCCAGTTGGATAGGAAGGAATTATTAATATATAATTATAAACTAAAACATTTGACACTGATAAAATGTAATAATTGTAGCAATGAAAATGAAAAGTCTAATGTCCGGAAAATTTGTGATGTTGAGCCGTGAAGCCCCCAGCTCGCTCGCCAAAATTTTTGGGAAAAGGAATACTAATTAGCCTTTGAAATTAGTGGGCAATATTTCATTTACACCCACCCACCCCCTGTTCAAATAGCGCTAGCGCTGCCCCTGAGTACAGAGTGATTTTTATGTACCCGTGTAATGTGTGGGGGAAAAGGCCCTTAGAGGCTTAGGCCCAGTAGTTGTAATTTCTTAAAAAATGCCCTGGCAACACTGTCCTGAAATGTCCCGCTTTCGGTTGGCACTTCAATTTGGAACTGTGATGATGATCGTAGAGTTCGTCCTGGTACATACTGATATCGATCGATCTACCTTAATGCATTTAGGCCAATTATTAAATTAGTACAAAGCTTTAAATGCAGATAGAAGCACTTGGAAATGGTGTTGTTCATTTGGGTGGCACAATATCATAAATCAGACTTCATATTACATATCATATTTCATATATCAGATTTCATATATCGATACCGAAGAAAAGCAGAATGATATATTCCTGTATCATATATCAGATTTCATATCAGATTTCATATATCAGATTTCATACATCAGATTTCATAGTACAGAAGAGAAGCAGAATGACGTGCTCCTGGATTATGGCAGTTTTGACTTTTAAGTTTGACATATAGGTTATGTATGTTTTACTAGTATTAAATATATATTTTTATACATCAGTAATAAATATACTTCCAGGACATGAAACAATACTTTTAATATTATCTTATATAGTTGGTCTTTTCCGCATACACTTCTTATTCTTTGATCAAGGATACTAGTCAGAGTAAATACTTGAGTATATTGTATCAACAGACATTTCCTCGATATGCTGCAAGAGTACATCCGAGTATCTTGTTATTCTGCTTTTTGGAAGCAAGCCATGGTTTCACTCTGTGAACCTTGAGAGTGTATTCGAGTTCATAACGATTTAATTATCTACTGCATAATTACCATTGGCTTATATATTCTGTACATCTGATATTGTATTGGGTATGAATTTTGGGGCCAAGTTAATTTAAAGTACGTAGGATATAGAAATCGTGCATTTTGGTCTGAAATATGGTCCAATTATTAAGATCCCTCTAACTCATTAGAGTGCATTACTTAATAATTCGAATAATTTAGTATGTTCAACTGACAACCATGGTTGCCATGCAATACGCGCGTATTGATTGCGTATTCTGCAACACGGTTCTGTAATGCGTTAGTGAGTGAAACTGGACCGACAATTGCTTGACAGTCAAAAGAATCCCATATTTGAAAAGGTTTGAGTCAATCTTTATCCTTGTCAGTTATAATGACCTGCAAGGGAAACGTAAATTTTCATAAATAGGGGAATCGAAATTCTCATTAGATATTAACCTAAGGAAGGATATTACATCATTCATCAAACATTTGCATACAATCTATAGACGTCGACTCGCAAAACAATTATCACAGTTGAAGAGTGATACTATCATCGACCACTTCATAGGCTATATACCCAGGCGCGCAAGAATATTGTGGAATCCTAATACAGGGTGAGCTTAAGTAAATGGCGAATAATGTTTATAATAACTATAATATGACTATATGAAACAGCCACAATGTCACTTCCAATAGACGACTCGTATATAATATACACTTGCGTGTTTTTGTATTTGTCACAGGAAATTTAATTTCCTTATTTGTTATTGTTATTTATCCATACAGACAGTTCGTTTTTTAAACCATAAGCGAATATAGCTACAATTGGACTTCATAGATCAGTATACCAAAGAAAAGCAAAATGACGTCAGCCTGGATTATTGCAGTTTTCGTTTTTACATGTGTAAGTACCAAAAGTAGAAACCGTGAAGTTCTGAATTGCAATAAAGAACATAATGTAAAATGAAATATTCGAGTGTTTTGTTGCACGTGTGCGGTAAAGCGACGAAATTTACGATCGATCAACCAATGCTTAGGTAATGGACATTTGCATTATAGACTAAATTTTGATCTAGACAAAAATTTCATCACAGCTTCAAAGAGCATTGCAAAATTAGTAATATTCCAAAGTTTCGTTGTACCGTAGTTTAATTTCGTTTCCAAAGTTGTAAAATGCGGATAATATAGCCTTGGGAAGTTTGCAATTTTCAGTAATTACATTTTGTATTACTAGTCAGGCAGATAGAGAACCAAAATTATGGAAAGCTTACCATATCGTGTGACAATTCCATTTTGCCTTCATATTGTGCCCTGAAGGCTAACAAGTACGTTTCTGTAAGTTGGCCGCGTTAAAGTTTCTTGTGGGCTCCTGCCGACACGTTTTTCTTCGAATTTTGTTTTAAACTCTATTACAGTTACAAAATGTGAAATTTCTGATACATTTCTAATACAAATGACTTGCATCAATAGAAAGCTAACAAAAAACTACATATAGGACATTTAAATGGTACGTTGGGATTTTCAAGCGGTTTTCGAGTTATTGCCGTTTCAAATGTGAAAAATAAGCCAAAATCTCGCAAAATTCCGGGGTACTATAGTCTGAAAACAAGCATTCAACAGCTCATAACTCAAAAAGAACTTGGAAAACCTGGGTAACCGTTTAAATGTCTTATATGTTGTTTTTTGCTAGCTTTAAAATTATGTAAGTCATTTGTGTTAGAAATGTATTTGAAATTTCACATTTTTTAACTGTAATAGAGTTTAATACAACATTCGAAGAAAAACGTGTCGGCAGGAGCCCACAAGAAATTTTAAAGCGGCCAACATACAGAAACGTACTAACTAGCCTTCAAGGCACAATATGAAGGCAAAATGGAATTGTCCCACGGTGTCGTAAGTTTTTTCCTTCTATATCTGCCCGACTATACTGAACGGGAAATTGATGCCCCAACACCCGATTGGGCTATCAATTTCCCGTGCGTAATACAAAATGACTGAAAATTGCAAATTTCGCAAGGCTATATTATCCGCATTTTACAACATTTCGCAACGAAACTTTGCAATATTACTAATTTTGCAATGCTCTTTGAAGCTGTGATGAAATTGTTGTCTAGACTTGTTTAATTAGATCAAAATTTAGTCTATAATGTAAATGGTCCATTCACTTGTAGACTGTTTCCAATTTCTCAGTATCCAAAAAACATGATTCGGTTAGAAAATTCTTGTCATCATAGATTGCTTTCAGTGGGCAGGCATGGTTGTATTTTTATGCAGGCGTAGTCTAAAGGCGTATAGTCTTTAAAATTTTCCTGGGTGCATGTTATCGCCTATATGGAACGTGCAGTGACAAAAATAATAAAATTAGTTATGATATATAATAGTAAA